TTTCCGGGTTTTTTAAATTTAAAAACCATTTCCCCCCCCCCCCCCTTTTTTTTTCCCCTTTTTTTTCCCCCTTTTTTTTTTAAAACCCCCCCCCTTTCCCCCCCCTTTCCCCCCCCCAATTTTTCCCCCTTTTTTTTCCCCAAACCCCCCCCCCTTTTTCCCCCTTTTTCCCCCCCCTTTTATTTTCCCCTTTTTTTTCCTCCCCCCCCCCCAAAAAAAATTTTTTTTTGGGGGGGGTTTTTTTTTTTTTGGGGGTTTTAAAATTTTCTTTTTTCTTAAGGGGGGAAAAAAAAAAATTTTCCCCCCTTTTTTTTTAAAAATAAAAAAAAAAAATTTTAAAATTGGGGGGTTTTTTTTTTCGGGCCCTTTTTTTTTTCCCCCCAAAAAAAAAGGGGAAAAAGGCCCTTTTTTAAAAAAAAAAAAAATTTTTTTTTTTAAAAAAAAAGGGCCCCAAAAAAAATTTTTTTTTTTAAACAAAAAATTTTGGGGGGTTTTAAAAAAAACCCAAAAAAAAGGGTTAATTTTTTTTTTTTTAAAATGAAAAATTTTTTTTTAAAAAAAATTTTGGGGGTTTTTTTTTTTTGGGGGTTTTTGGGGGAAAAATTTTTTTAAATTTTTTAAAAGGGTTTTTTTTTAAATTTATTTGGGGGGAAAAAAAAATTTTTTAAACCGGGGTTTTTTTAAAAAAAAAAAAAAACCCCCTTTTTTGGGGGGGGGGTTTTTTTGGGGAAAAAAAAATTTTTGGGGTTTTTTGGGGAAGGTTTTGGGTTTTGGTTTTGGGGGGAAAAAAAAAAAAAAAAATTTTTTTTTTTGGGGGGGGGGGGGTTTTGGGGGGGGGGTTTTTTGGTTGGGGGGGGGGTTTGGGGGAAAGGGGGTTTTGGGGGGAAAATTTTTTTCGTGGGTTGTTTTTTGGGGGTTGGGTGGGGGAAACCAAATTTTTTTTTTTTGGGCCATTTTGGGGGGAAAAGGGGGAAAAAAAACAAAAAAATTTTTTTTTGGGGGGTTTTTTTTTTTTAAAAAAAAGGGGAAAAAAAAAACCCCTTTTAAAAAATTTTTTTGGGGGGGGAAAAATTTTTTTTTTGGTTTGGGTTTTTTTAAAAAGGGGGGCCCCCCTTTTTTTGGGGGGGGTTTTTTAGGGGGAAAGGGGGGGAAAAAATTTTTTCCCCCCGGGGGGGGCCCCAAAAAAAATTTTTTTTTCCCCTTGGTTTTTTTTTAAAAAAAATTTTTTTCCCCTTTTTTTTTTTAAAAAAAAATTTTTTTTGGAAAAAAAAAAAAGGGGCCCCCCCCCCCTTCCTTTTCCCCGGGGGTTGGAAAAAACCAAAAACCCCCCCAAAGGGGGTTTCCCAAAATTTTTTTTTAAAAAAAAAACCCCTTTTAAAAAAAAACCCCCCTTTAAAAATTTTTGGAAAAAAAAAAACCCCAAAAAACCCCTTTTCCTTTTTAAAATTTTAAACCTTTGGGTTTTTAAAAATTTTAAAAAAAAATTTTTTTAAAAAAAAAAATTTTTGGGGAAAAAACAAGTTTTTTTTTCCCCCAAAAATAATTTTTTTTAATTTCCTTTTTTTTTTCCCCCCCCCTTTCTTTAATTTTTTTCCCCCCCCCGGGGGGGGTTTTTTTTTAAAAAAAAAATTTTTGGGGGGTTTTTTCCCTTTTAAAAAATTTTTTTAAAATTTTTTTTGGGGGAAAAAAAAAATTTAAAAAAAAGGGGGTTTTTTTTTAAAATTTTTTTTTGGGAAAAAAAAAAAACCCAAATTTCCCTTTTTTTTTAAAAAAAATTTTTTATTTTCCCAAAAAAAAAAAAAAAATTTTTGGGGGGGGGGAAAAAAGGGAAAGGGAAAAAAAAAAAATTTTAAAAAAATTGGGGGATTTTTAAAAAAAAAAAGTTTTTTTTTTTTAAAAAACCGGGGGGGTTTTTTTAATTTTTTTCCAAAAAAACCCCCAAAAAAGGGGGTTTTTTTGGTTTTAAAAAAATTTTGGGGAAAATTTTTTTTTTTTCCCAAAAAAAGGGGGCCCTTTTTTGGTTTTTTAAAAAAAAAAATTTTTTTAAAAAAAAAATTTTTAAAAAAAAAAAATTTTTTTTTCCCCAAAAAAAAAGGGGGAAAGGGGGGTTTTTTAAAAAAAATTTTTAAAGGGAAAAAAAAAAAAAAAACCCCCGGGAAAAGGGAAAAAGGGGTTTTTTTTTTAAAAAAATTTTAAAAGGGGGGTTAAAAGGTTTTTTTTTCCCAAAAAACCCCCTTTTAAAAAAAAAATTTTTTTAAAATTTTTTAAAAAAAAAATTTTTAAGGCAAAAAAAAAAAATTTTTTGGGAAATTTTTTCCCCCAAAATTTTTTTTTTAAAAAAAAAATTTTTTTTTTAATAAAATTTTTAAAAGGGAATTTTTAAAATTCCCCCCAAAAATTTTTTTTTTTTTTTAAAAATTTTTAAAAAAATTTTCCCCCCAAAAAAAAAAAAAGGGGGGGGGGGGTTTTTTTTGGGGGGTTTTAAAAAAAGGAAAAATTTTTTTTTTAAAAATTTAAAAAAAGGAATTTT